CTCTCTGCTCAGCAGGGAGTCTGCTTCTCCCTATCTTGCTCTCTCATGCACTCGGGCTCTTGCTTTCTCTCTCCTCTAGCTGTCTCTCACATGTACTCTCTAAAATATATATAATCTTAAAAAAAAAAAAGTTTAAAAAAAAGGTGCTGAGCAAAAAAGGAAAAGCCAACAGAGAAATGGGCAAGATTACAAATAAAGGATTTCCCTTCTGTGCTCAGAAGGGCACAATTCAGGTGAAGCGTGTCAGGAGCAGGGAGGGCACAGAAGACCAAATATGCCTGGATGGAGAAGGAGACAGGCAAAGAAGGGCTAAAGGAAAAGCTGGTAAACACTCAGTCACATGCCCTGGACACCTGAGAGACCTTCCTGCCTTGCAGCTTGGCTTTCCAGGCCTCAGGACCACCTCAGACCTGGAATCCCAACTGGAGGCAAGCACTTGGGAGTTCTCCTGGAGGCCACCCTTGTCCTCTGAGCCTTGGTCCTGGAGCCCCAGCACCCCCACCTCTGTGCCTGGCTTTGTCCCTCTAGGTCCAGGCTGTCCTGGAAGGCGTCCCTGCTATTCTGCTGTCCTGCCATCCTGTCTCTGGTCTGTGGAATCCTGCTGGGGGCAGGTCCTCTGAGAGCAGAGACTGTGGTCCTTTACCAAGCCCTCTCGAGAGCTTTGTACAGCGCCTGGCACAGAGCAGGCACAGAGAGCATGTGCAGCAGGAATATTTTTTTAAAAAGGTTTTATTTATTATTCATGAGAGAGGCAGAGACACAGGCAGAGGGAGAAGCAGGCTCCATGCAGAAAGCCCGATGTGGGACTCGATCCCAGGACTCTGGGATCCTACCCTGAGCCAAAGGCAGATGCTCAACTGCTGAGCCACCCAGGCGTCCCAGCAGAAATATTTTTAAGTAACAATTAGTTTCTCCCTGACCTTGCCATCACTGACGTGTGTTTCAGGAACGGCAGATGTTCACCACACCATTCCACAGACTCTTGTACCCAACCTCATGACTCCAGTCACAAGTAAACTACATAGATGTTTTTGACTTGCAAATACTATAACCCTAAGACCTAGGGTAGCGCCTAACACATACATGGAGTTTCTTTCTCAAAAGAAACTGGCTGCTGTTGCAAAGATTCCAACAATCAGTGTATAAGAATCAAAGAATTCTTATCATCAATGTAATAAAAATAGAAGAGTCTTCCTTATCTAGCTTATGTTGGTCAGCACAGTGTGGCCAATGTATTCAAACTGTCTTATAAAGAGCCACATTTCCCCAGCATGTTGATGCATGAAAGTCAAATCAACAATGCAGCCTATCAAGTGGATCCACTTAATTTGCTAGCTACATTAAAAAGGTAACAATTATTTTGGCAAATACAAGGATATACACAGCAAGTCCATGTGGACACACAAACACAAAGGTAGGTGAAGATATATATATTATTGAACAACACAGGCTTGAACTCTGCAGATCCACTTAAATGCAGATTTTTTTTTTTGATACAGTATAGTACTGTCAATATATTTTTTCCTGCTTCTGGATTTTTGCAATTATGTTTCCTTTCCCCTAGCTTACTCTAAGAATACAGTCTATGATACATACAACATATAAAATATGTGTTAACCCACTATTTATTTTATCTGTAAGGCTTCTAGTCAACATAAGCTATTAAGTTTTTGGAGAATCAAAAGTTGTACATGTATTTTCAGCTGCACCGGGGTCAGTGGCACCCCAAACTTCTCAGTGTTCAAGAGTCAACTGGTATATATGTGCGCTTGTGTATAGGTATCTAGATATACCTATCTCCATCGGCCTTTGTATACTTCTTTTTGTGATATGTAGTTTGTGTGATATGCCTTTAAAAAAAAAATCAAAGGAATGAGCATATTCCCAAGCTGTCTCTGAGCATTCCTCTCCCCTTAAAATCTCTTATGTTTTCTCAGTCTGTTGCTTTTTAATTAGGGAAGTATGCAATCTCTATTCATTAGGTTTCTTTAGCGTAGCAACCTCGTTTTTGCTCAGAACATTATTAAGAAAACAACCATCGAACAGACTTCTTTGCTGATTGTGATGAGGAATTTATCAAAGATTAAAGTACAAATTAACCTGTATTCCGAGTTGCTACTCATTTTACTCTGCTACAGTCTAGGACAGCAGGAAATTCCAACTCCTGAAAACATGTGCTTACACCACTTACTGTTGATATGAACACCAAGCCTACTACATCATAAATAAGACCTCCTCACTGTTACCTCTTCTTTGAATTTAAGTTAAAATTATGAAATGGTATAGCAGCCTCATCGGATCTCTGGTTGTGTTTACTTGGGTTTATGAAACTATGCTTCTTCTGCAGGGGAAGAAACTAGCACACAATGAATGATGAATGAGTGAATGAATGACAAATCAAGAGACCAAGTTGACTTATTAAGTCATTATGAGGCAAAGTAGATATTTAAAATGGAACAATACTTGTTATTACATGTAAAAGCATCACATACACTATCACGTTATAAAAGTAAGTATAATAATAGACAGCTACTCTATTGAGTTGTAAGGCATGTGATAATAAAGAACAGTAATGGTAGTTGAGCAACAAGTGATAGCATTAAGTCACATTTGGTTAAAGAACCAGTGGAAAACGCTGAAGCTACCAAAACAGAAATGGTAAGAAAAATAGCTCAAAGGCCCAAAGTTGGCAAAATGAGTCCTGTTTGAAGCGTCAGTCACTCCTTCATACTCTCTCCCTAAGCTAGAGTTCAGGTGAGATTGCGACTGATGGTATTCTTCCTCCTTTCAGGACTTGAAACTAATGGTGTAAGGCAGAAACATGGTTGCTTCCAGAAATATACAATGTTGAGAAAATATATCACATCTTTTCTCTTTAACTTATTAAAGATCTACTGAAAAATCTTGCTCAAAACAGCACAGAATTATCTTTTGTCATCACCACTGATACCTAACAGACGTGTCAGTCCGAGTGGTATAAAGTGAACAGACCAACAGAGCTGGGAGGCCCCTCAGCTCACCTGGTTCTGTCCTAGAACCTCCGGTAGTTCCCCAGAGTCTGGTAAATCATAACATCTCTCAAGTACAGTCCTACCGTTCAGGGCACACCAGTCACACTGCACCTTACTCCCACTACACCATGGGCCTTCTCCTCAGCTGGGGCCTTTGCTTGACCCCCTTTCTGAGGCCTGCCCAGACATGCCTCCCTACCACTCTCTCCAGGCCATCCTAATTTGCCTCACCATTTCCAAAGAAGCTTATTTTTTCTTCCCATTTGACTTTCATGGCCAACTTCAACTGTGAGCCCAAATTTACTGCAAGCCCACCCAACTAATATTTCTAAGTGCGTGGATTTGTGTACAGGGAGCGTCTCACAAGACTTCAATGACCCTTACAGGGTAGGTACTCTGTAAACTCGGTGCTAAGACATCCTAGGTGCTCAATAAAACCCTTCTTTTGCCTACTAACCACACCGAAATGCTCAACTGAGGTAAATTACTACCCCCAAGGATTCAATACAAAGAATACTTTTGTATATATCACCAACCTATTTAAAGAAATAATATTTTCTGGTCTTAATTATTTGGACTATTAATTGTCACTTCTCAATTAAAGACTCCACTATAAGGTTGCAAAACACCGAGAGCTGAATCTTCACAAACAAGGCAAAGTTAAAATATTCTCTAGTTCTCCAACAGCATCCTGAAAGATCACTGACGTAATCACAAAATACAACTCTTAGGCTTCCAAATTTTGTTAGGCAGCTTTCACTAGGAATGCTCCAGATATTCTGGTTCAAAACATCTACATAATTACCTCAATTCTTCCTTCCGAACCCATTGTAAGCGATATCCAAGGGCAGTATTTAGGGGTTAAAATGTTTCCAAAAAGCAAGACTGCTACTTTCCAGAAAAAGAATTTAAGAAACCACCACCCATAAAAAGAACGCAAAAACCAAAAACCCCCGCATCACCATAAGAATGTAAAACGTTCCCGTCTCAAGGGGGGAGGGGATCTATTTTGAATTCACAACTGATTGAAAAAAGAAAAAAAAGGCTTTAAGAACCCCCAAAATGAGGAATCTGGGTAAAAGACTGGTAGAAGGCCTTGTAGAGCTCCAGTGTGGCCCCTCCCTCCCAACCCGAGCTCTTAAAACACATTTCTTATCTCGTGCTGCAAATCGCAGCCTGGCCCCGAAATCATTCCATTTAAAAAGCCCCCACCCTCGAGGAAACATTAATCTATTTTGCAAACATGCGTTCCAATCTACGCTTTCCTGGTTTTCTTTTTTTTCCTCAACTCTTTCCCTCCCCACCCCCCACCCCCCCTTTTTTCTTTCTTTTTTTTTTTTTTTTTGGTACCTTGAGACAAATGTTTTTTTCCCCCAGAGTTGAAAGCTGTCCAAAAACAGGACCACACACGCCGCCGCCTCCGCAGGCCCGCGCTGCGCCCGCCCCCCGCCCTCCCCGAGCGGCGGCCGCCGGGGGCGCGCGCACTCCCTGCAGCCGAAGGGGTGGCCTCTCTCGGCCCCCCCACCTCTTTCTCTTTGGACGCGGTGGGTGGGGGCGGGGAAGGGCAGGGCACCGAGGACCCGAGCCAGGAGTCGGGAGGCCTTCCTCCGGCCGCGTCTCGGGCGCGGCGGCGGCGGGCGGCGGCGGCGGCGGGCCCCGGGGGCCCCGGGCGCCCCCGGGCGCGGGCAGTGGTCTGTCCCGCGGAGGGGCCCCGCGCCCCCGCCGGCCCGCCCTCGCCGCTCTCTCTCCCAACACCTAGCAAGACGCAGCGCCCCGAGTAGATTACAGCGCGGCCTTTGTCGGGCGGGCCTGGCTCCGGGCCAGGCGCCCAAACAATAAACAATTCCCCCTGGTGCGGGCAGGGGGTTCTCGCTCGCCACAGCAAGGCCCTAGGTGTACGCTCGGCGAATATCTTTATCAGTTGGGAGGAGGATGGGGAGGGGGCCTGGGCGGGGGGCGCGAGGGCGCCGCGGCGCGCTGGTCTCTTACCTTCCACCCACAGCTCCTCCACGTTGGTCTCGAGATTAGCTGCCTTTAATCCCACAGCGAAGGCCCCAAATATGAGGAGGCCCACAACCAAGAACTTGCCGCAGTTTTTTTGAATGTAACAACCCAGTTTAAATAAGAGTCTCTGAAACTTCGCTCTCAGCCACAGCGGCGCTTTCCGGCCAGTAGCTTTCCCCTGAGGACGAAGCAGAAGGAGGAGTGAGCGCCGGGGAGCCGCGGCCCGCGCGCCCACGCCCGCCCGCGCCCCCGCCCGCGGACCCCGCGACGGCCTGGAACCCAGGCCGGCCCGGTAACGCGAGCGGCGTGGGGAGGCCCGGACAGAAAGCGGAGTCGGGCGGCAGCGTGGGAGCTGCACCTCGGCGACAGCAGGGCGCCCCCACGCGCGACCCGCGCCGCATGCCCGGAGGCCTTGGGGGCGCCGGGGACAAGGGCTGCAAGAGCAGAGGGAAGGGGAAGCCGAGGCAGGGAGGACACAAACCACTCCACACGGGCAACGCTCACACCGGGGCTGGGAAGGGAGGGGCCGCGCAACCCCCGCGGTGGAGCCCACCCTTTAAGGACCAAGCCACGGTCGCTTCCCCGCGGGCCAGGCGCCATCCTTCACCGCCCTGGGGGTGCCCGGCGGGCTGGGGACTGGGGTTGGGAGCCCAGCGCACCCTGGGGACGCCGTCCGGCCGGCGCCCCGAGCCTGCCCCCGCTCGCCCGCCCGCCCGCCCGAGGTGGCAGTAAGTGGGGATACACGTGGTGAGCGCGGCCGCCGGAGCTCACTCGCGACGCACGTCCCTAGCGTTGGGAGACGCCGTGTGAGCTGAATTAGGAAGTGGGGCGGCCATCTGCAACTTACGACAGTATTTGTGATCGGAAGAGGGCAGCCACATGGATCTTTGCCTCCTCTCCCTTCCCATCTGGTTAAACGTAAAAAGTAGCCAAGCGCACGGGGGAAGGGCCCCGGCCGGCGCAGGCAGGGGTCCCGGCTGGGCTGCGGCTGATCCCGGCGGCGGCGTGATCTCGGCGCTGGCCGCGGCCCCGGCGGGCCCCCGTCTGGGTGCTCGCCTTCCCCGGATTCCACACATTGCAGCGAGCCTCGTAAACACAATGAACCCGGCCGCTTGGCAGGCCCGCACCAAGGACTTAAGGTGGCAATTTGTTTACAACTTTCCCTTTCCCCCCAGGCTCTGAGAAGAGGCGACTCAAAAACTGAAAAGGAAGAGGGAAGATGCCCTCTTCCAAGGATAATTTTTAAGGGGGCAGAGATTTCGTGCTCAACAAAAGCAAAACCGGCTGCCAAAAAAGGAAACCACCTTTATTTCGGCTCCCTCCCCCCCCTTCCTCTCTCCGCCTCTCTCCACTCCGCCCCCCCCCCTCCAAGATGTTAAGAAATGTGGCAGCATTACAGGGGTTTAGGTTGTGAATAGGGGCAGGGGCGCGGGAGCTGGGGTCTCCCGGGCCGGGGGCACCGGGCACTGCCGCGCGGCGGCCGCCCTCGAGGTGGTCCGCGGTGGACCGCTTTCCAGTGCTCCGGAAAAGGCATGCCGGGGAGGGCGCGTGCACACGCGCGCTCACACACACACACACACACACACACACACACACACACACACACACACCCTCCACCCCCTGCGGACCTCAGACAGCCCTTTCCTCCCAGGACCAGAGGGAGGGTTTGAATTTTTCAATCCCCACTTGTCTGCTTCTTTGGCTGGAGAGGTGTGTGTGAGTGCTTGCGTGCGTGCGTGCGTGTGCGCGCGCGGGTGTGTGTGTGTGTGGCGGGGGCGATCCCAAAGAGGAAGAGGAGGGAAGAGTGGGAGGAGAGGAGAGAGTCTGAAATGCACCTTGGAAATCTGCTCCAGAGCGAAGGCGGCGTCGCAGTAGCTGGGCCGGTGCAGATAGTCCCGGTCCAGCGCGGCGCTGCGGCGCAGCCCCCCGGCCCGTCTGCGTCTCCCGCCGCCGGCCGGCCGGCCGGGGGCCCCGCTGCTGCTGCTGCTGCTGCTGCCGCCACCGCCGCGGTCCTGGGGCTCCGCGGCGTTACCAGCCGAGGCCATGTTGCCGCCGCCGCCGCCGCCGCCGCCGCCGCCGCGGGAACCGAGGCTTCCCGGACGGCCCGGCGCGCTGCTGCCGCCGCTGCGGGCTCCCGGCGCGCCCGGGCGCTCGGCCGGCGAGGACGCTGCTGGCCGCCGGCTGTTCGGGCTGGGGCTCCGGGTGACAGACCTGCCGCTGTCGCTGCCGCTGCTGCTCACACGGCGGGTGCTGCTGCCGCTGCGGCCGCAGCCGCTGCCGGGGAGTCAGACCCTGCGCCTTCCATTGCCACATCGCGCGGGGGTCCCGAGGTCTCTGCGGCCGCCGCTGCCCACATCCAGTCCTCGGGAGGGCGGGAGCCGGCGCGCGGAGCCAGCCTGTCCTTCGGGCGCTCGCGCGGCGCTCCTCGAGATCCCCGACTCCCCCTGCCCGCCCCCCGCCCCGCGCCGCGACCCCTTCACTGCAGAAAGCGCCAGCAAATCCCTGCGGCTCCCGCCGGCCGCGCCGGCTCCCTCGGCGCCTCCCGGGTCGCGCGAGCGGCCGCGGAGGGTGAGCACCGAGCCACCGCCGCGCGGTCCGTGGGTGCCTGGCGGGTCTCAGCGCTGCCTGGCCGGGGCCGCCGCCGCCGCCGCTCCTGCCGCGGCGGGTGCTGCTGGCGGTGGCGGCTGCTGAAGCTGCTGCTCGGGCTGCTCGGGCTGCTCGGGCTCTGGCTGCTGGGCTCGCGGTGGCTGTTCGGTCCCGGACTCTGCTTTCTCGTGCTCCTCGCCGACCCGCTGGACCATTCTGCCCCAGTGCAGCGCGCCTCTCTCGCTCCCGGGACCTGGGGACTCCGCTCTGTGTGTGTGCAGCGGGCAGCGGCCGCAGCAGCTCCTTGATTCAATAGATGAGATGGAAGAAGAAAAAAAAGAACTCTCTCCATTTGGAGAAAGAGGAGGAGGAGGGGAGGGGGTGGAGGGGGAGAGACCGAGCGAAAGAGAAAAAGGCTGGAGCTCCCGCCCCCGGGGCTGTCAGATGGCTTGGGTTTCTGCGACGCGATTGGCTCGCGGAGGGCAGAAATTACTCAGCAAACATGACTATTATTAGCTGCTTAGCAACAGCTCACCAAAGTAGAGAGACCACCCAGGTAGGCAACCCCAGTGTGTGCATCCCCGGCTTCGGGGGAGCCTCCGAGAGCGCCAACCTTCTTGCATGCAATACTTCCATTAAGGAATGCTCCCCCTCCCTTTTCTTTCTTATTCCTTTTCTTTTCTACAGTGTCTTCTTTTTGTAAGACGCCTTTTGCGCGCGCGCACACACTCACACACACACACACACACACACACACGAGCATTTGCCTCGCGATAGACGGGGGGGGGGGGAATGTAATATTTTTTTAAGCGCTTAAACAATTTCTGAAATTCCTCAAAGAAAACCCTTTCAGAAGCACCTTGGCCTCCAGCTGCAGCAAACACTGGGAGGTCCGGCTTGAATTCCCAGGCCTGCACCAATAATGACAGGGTGGTGGATAGTGCGCCAGTGTGTGCCAGATTTTTTTTTTTTTCTCCTCTCTTTTCTTTTTTAGCTAAAGAGAAGACTTAGGCTCTCGCAGGGAACAACGCCTCGCATTAAGATAAACAAAATGGAAAGTTAAAGAGGAAAGTAAGGACGTTAAGAAAAGCCACCCTTTCTTAAAATCCTTCCCCCCCACCCCAATACCCATGGCAGCACAGTCCCCGTTTGAAGGAGTCAGAGTTTTAAAAACGTGGAATCGAGACACTGAAGCAGAGGCGTTTTTATTTGAATCTTTAATATGACATATGTAAAAGAGAAACACAGAGTCCTTTTAACAGCCAGGAGCAAAGGAATTGTTTCATTGAGAAAAAAAAAGAAAGTTTTCCTATTTGGGGTTCACTTGGACTCCCCCCTCTTATCGCCCACATGTCCTTGTTTATTTAAAGTCCGTTTAAAACGTTTTATTTTTTTTCAAAAACTGGTACGCATCCTGTTATATTTAATAATAGCGTGACGTTGGGGAGAATAAAGGCTTTGATGTTGGATTCATTCGAAACAAATTGTGCGCTGATTGCGAGGACTTGTCAGGACACTGCGGCCAGTGTCACCGAGACATCCCAGGGATTCGCTTCCCGTTGGGGAAGAAAACACGCGACCCTCTGAAGTGGATCCTGGGGCCAGAGACGAATTAAACTCCCTACACAGTTCCGTTTTTTATTTAAATATCATAAAAATGTTTTGAGAGTGTAACTTGTTTTTCTTGTTTGCAGATTATTAAGTCCCTCCCTGAGACAAGGACCAGACCCACACACTCTCGATTCTGTTTCGTTTTAGTATTTTTGCCTTTCTTTTTTAAAAACGTGGTTGAACTGCAGAGGGGAACCCGCGTCAGCCAGAAGCCGATTGCAGCCGTGAAATGGGGCAGTGTGGCTTTAAGATGCACACGGTGTGTGTTCATTGAAAAAAAAGAAGAAAGAAAGGAAAGAAAGAAACCCAGATGGAGGGAAAGGGGGAGGAGCAGAGAGCAGGCGGGGCCCACGCGCCCACGTGACCCAGGGCCGGGCCGGGGCGGTGCGCGGGGCGGCCGGAGGCCTGAGCGCGCGCGTCTGCGTCCGCCTGCGCGCACCCGAGCTCCGGGACTCCCCGCGCGGCCCCGGCGGAGCAGGTAGGGGAGTCGGTGCGCCTGGCTCGCGCCCGGCGGATTCTAAGGCTCCGGCGCGGCCTCCCAGGAACCCAGACACGGCTCGCGCCCCGCCGGCGCGGACCGACGTGCCGGACGCGCCGTAGTACATTCCTGAAGGCGGTCCGGCCCCCTTACGTTGCCCAATGTCCGCGCGGCCTCCTCGCGGCCGGCCAATGGCCGAGCGCACGGGTCCCTGCCCATTCAGCGGCCGGTGTACGCGGCCCCGGCCCGGGGGGACTGCAGCCCCGCGCGCAGGTCACCCGGGCGCCCACGCGGCTCCCGGGGGGGACTTGTCGGCCGCCCTCCCCGCCCTCCCCGCCCTCTTCCTTCCTCTTTGGTGGCTTCCACCTCCCTCCTTCTTTCCGTCGCCCCTTTCCTTGCTCCTTCCTCTTTCACCCGTTTCTCTTCCTCTCGATCCAGCCGCACCACCTTCCTTCTAGCCTTATGCTCCTTCCTGGATTCAGCGGGAGGCCCTGTGCCCTGAACTCCAAGCCGGCGGAACGTGTGCAGCTCCCCTGGCGAGGTCGGGTGTCCCGCAGGATAGAGACAAAGACGGTAGAGGTGTCTGAGGGTGCTTACGAGATCAAGAGGAGGACCGGAGGACCCGGCCAGCGCGGAAATTCAAAACTCAGAACTCCGAAGGAGCACGTGATTCCGTGCGCCGCTCCGGGAGGGCTGTTAAAGTCCAGAAGAGAAGGCAAGCACCGTGCAATTGAAGTGACACGTTAATAAATAATATCGCAGGAAGATTGGGCTCGACACATAGCAAGTTTAATCTTGAAGCGATGCCCTGACCTTTATTATGTTCGATAGAGAACATAAAGCAGGAAAGGTGATTTATTCCAACTTTTCTTACTGAGTGGTTCTGCAGACGAAGTTTCAAGTCAAACTATTAAGTGCTTACCACTGGACATTTTTTAGAGAGTTGGGGGTTGTACCCCTGGTTTTACCCTGTCTTTTTAATACTTGAGTCGTGCTGTCTAGCAAAGTAACCATGTAGCGATAGGTTGCTAGGTTTGTCTTTTCAAATTCCTTTACAGCGTTTTTGTTTGTTTGTTTTTTTTACCAAACATTACTTGTGCCACCCAGTCTTTTATTTACAGCAATTTCAGTTTAGCTACTTGGATTATGGACTTCTAAAATGAAATGATAGGCTATGTACACATCATGGGTCCTTATTACTCTCTGCACGCAGCTGCCTTTCCTCGTTCTGACTGCTGCACCATTTGAATGGCAAAGCTCTTCCACTCGGGCTCATTTCCCTCAGTTTGACTTAATTCCTAAACGTTTTGAACATTGATCTCCCGGGTTTTCGGCGCCCTCAGCCTCCTCACCCGCTGTTTGATAGGTTAACTTTTCAGCATCTCAGACAATAGTCCTTGCCTGTAAATTCTACCCATCGGTTCCAGGACGCAGTCCGCAGCCAGGGCTCTAACGAGCGCTATCTTAATCTCCCCACCCCCACCCACCGCTTCCCCTGTGGTCTGCTTTTTTCCTACACAGAGATGAATTACTTTGAGGATCTAATTGGCCTTGTTTCTGTAACGTTTTAAGAAAGGGAAGAGGAGCTAGTGTAAAAGCCTGCTCGACTTGGGTGGTCAGGGCTGAGGCTGCCCCCAATTTGCCTCATTGCTGATGCATGCGAGTGCGACATTCCCAGCGATAATGTTGTTCCTAATCAATCTGCCCTTATTTACATTTGTAAGCGTTGTCGGCTTTAATATGCATGCCCTGTGCAGGGGACCGCTGCGCCACACCGGGTTTGTTAACTTCAACTAACCATAAGAATTCTCCAGACCTGAGATGAGGCTGGCTGGAGGAGCCAGGCCTGTGAAGGTGTCTGCTGGGAACAGTCCCTTTAATGGCCTCTCTGGAGTGTGGCTCCCCTCCTGAGAGTTACCAAATAAGTGAGAGCTTGGGCCTTTTCAACCAGCAGGAGTTGCTGGCTCACTTTGGAGCAACAGTAGAGTGTTCTGTTTCCCCTTTCCAGGTAAAGGGGAATGCATCATCTCAATGCATCAATTGTCATTTAGGTCATCCCATTATGATCCAAGACTTCATAGGAATCTGTAGTTTTCAAACAGATTTCCTTAAACTTTTAAAATACGAATATGAAAAATATTTCCCCTTTTCTGCTCCAGTACTTCAAATCTGTGGCCACACTACATACATCTCAAAAATGACATCTGATTATCCAAGTGATAACACCGAAATGAAACATCTGCCCTTTGTATTCGGACATTCCATTGATAAGCAATTGTGGGAGCTGGACTTGGTTGGGTAATGAGAAACCATGGTGAGATTTAACTTTTCACTGGTTTCTCAGATCCAACGAAATGGGTCTTTAAGATCTAGTGTAATGTAGCTAATTTTTGCAGAGTAGAAATGAATAAAGGGGTAAATGTATTCTAGTATGTTGACTTTGGGTCTTGTTATAATTTTGCCTGAGCTTAATAATTCTTTTCCATAAATGCAAAGAATTGCAAATGTTACATTAAGTCCCCCAGTATGCCTGTTGAGAGGCTGCGATGGGGAGAGGAACTGGGGATTTGATGTAATACTCTATTTCTGGGTGGGGAGCCCAAGGTACAGGATGTGAGTGATGGGCCAGAGCTTGAGCACTTGAAAGCAGGTACTTTGACTCCCCTCAAGCCAGTATGCCACCATCCACCACATTTTCTTGGCTCCCTAAGAATGCCTTATTATTTTCTCATTGGCAGCTTTTGTATTTACTTAAAGGGGTGATGGTAGAAAAT